TCGATTTAAACTTGTTATTTTCGGTTGATGGAAAATATTTTCTGAAATCAATTAGTTTTTCGCCATCCAAACTCCGAAAAGTTTGAAAATAATTTTTCAACAACAGTTTTCCTTCAAACAAATGAGCCTTAAGTGATAATTCAGATCTTTCAAGGAAAGATAAGACGTAACTCAATTAGTGTTGATACCTAAATATATATAGAGATACTCTAGGACCTCACAAAGAGCTCATTGCTTGGACGATCATCCCACGCCCTGAGTGGCTCCACATTTCTAAGCTAAATTATTTATTAATGGCTTAAAGCCTGGGTAAAAGTTTGGCCTTGTTAGTCCAATTCGACCTATTATTAAAATTTAACTCTCCTATCATGATTCTTTGCGAGATCACATATCTATACTATTCATTAAGCAGATCCCAATAGTCATTTGGTCAATTGAATCTTAAACTATATGTGACCGCATAACACTATAGAGAAACAAAATCATAGTTTACAATAATCAAGATCTTGATCATGTAACCACTTATACTCGCACCTTCTAAATTGGAAATTCAAAATTATGGTAGAGTGTGGCCCAAATCTCTCAGCTTTCCCTTCGCAATGATTCAAACTATCCAAACGGGTCGGAATCTTTGAACATTATCTCTCTTTTTCTTTGTGCCATTTCAATTTATTTTTTCACTATTTCTCTGCACGTGCAACACGAGGCAACAAGTCCTTTGAAGTTGTCCTATGACCAGGTATTGAACTTTGAAATTCTTGTCAATGAACGAATTTTCTCCCTTTCTTTGTGTTATTTAGTTTCCCAACACCGGCCATTGTATTGACTGAAATCTGTTCTGACACTCCGTCTGCCATCCAAGGAGTTGTGTTCTGCTTCTAGGCTTTAGAATCCAAGGTCGGAAAGACAACTCTGCTTCCTTCTCCCAACTTCTCTCTCGTCCGTTTGGCTTTCGGGTCAAAATTGCACATTGAAGTCAAACAGTTTCCAGTTTTACAGTGTGAAATCTAGTAACGTCAAGAGTCGTGAACTATCCAAATATTGACCAGCCGCTTAGGACGGCATGGAAGATTTAACATAAACTCAACCTTGCCAATTTAGACAGGACAAATATCACAAAAAACCCTCAATTATGCCTATCGTGACATAAATACCCTCAACTTTGTTTTGTATAACGAAAAAATCCAAACTTATACATGTGTGATATATATACCCTCTATTTCAGTTTATATTGGTTACACTGGTATAAATTCAAAGTTTTTTATGATAAAAAAGATGTTTGGGGTAGGTTTTTTGTGACACAAAAAAAGTTTGGAGCATTTGTATCACAGTAGACATAATTTGGGGTTTTGTGTGGCATTAACCTATTTAGGTAAGATCACACTTGTGTTCTCATATTGTATTTTAAGTTGAGTCTTATTGAATTATACTTTTAATCGACAACAGTATGTATATTAAGTATAGGATTACATATGCACAAATTTGCGTCATATCATATTAGTTTCTTGTATCACGGTTGATGAATAAAGTTTTAACAAGTGTTTATAAAAATATATATAATTTTTTGAGATAATTGCGCACGAAAAGTGAAGAAAAATGAGCAAACAAGAAAGCAAAATGACAAGTCACCCTAGGAATAGACAAAGTTGTTTTTTTTTTGGTCGGGCTAGGAATAGATAAAGTGAACTTTCCTGTTTTTGTAGAAATGCTCAGAATAGAAGAAAGTGATTCACCTCGGCGAAGCGCCGGTTCAAAATTGTTAATCACTAGTTTAGAATGTATGCCATGTTTATTTATAGCACAATATTTTTGTTTCGTTTAGAATAATTGGGAAACATGGAAATTCAAAGAAGTCGGGGCCATAAATTAATTTAGTTAGATTGTTTGGATGAAGGAAGGGAGAAGAAAGAGGAGAGAAAATACCACAAAATTCATATTTTCTCTCCTATCTGTCTTCACACTAACTTTTCTATGTAGATTCCCATCCCCGATTCGCCTCATTTTCCAAAAATAGCATTAACCCTCTTTTTTTTATGTTAGAAGAGTGAGAAGGGGTGATCAATCGACCGCCTTCTTTTGGCGTTACTATAGAAGTTTCGTACCCATAATCGAAATGTTCAATATGAAACATAGTTAATATTCATTTTGAGAGAGCTTGTCATATCTGAATTATCGGATACGAGATAGGGTAATAAAAGAATGGTCAATACACTCGGTACACAAATCGAACCGATGTTACGGGTGAATTAGAATTTTTTGAAATCGAGGAGCGATTCGATTCGAGAACTTGAACACATAACCAAGGGTGTTCACAACACTAGAGGCTGTCAACAGACTGCCAATCATCTCGGTGTTCGAAGATAAGCATAAACGAGCTCTCGCAACTCAACAGTAAAAGTAACATCCTTAAGGAAACAAAATGTGAGAAGCGACAAGAACTTACGTAGGCTGTGTCCCACTAGAACAATTATTGGTCCAAAAGAAGAAAGACCTGCGACAAAGTCACACTCTCAATCACACCTTCGACACGTGGATGTTCATTTCTCAGTCTGGTCTACTCTAGTCTAGTGACAAAGAGGATTAGCCTCCATCTCTCGAATTTGCTGCACGTCGATTCCGCAACCTAATAACTGCAATTAAGCACATTAACTGTTGTCACGTGAACAATGTTACTGCTTTCATACGACGTTAACTCGATCTTCAAGGTTGAGAAAAATCGATTTTTGGTGGAAGAAAACCAAAACCCGAAAACTCGAAGTTGAATGAAATCCTTGAAGGGATTTTGATGGGGAAAATGGCCGGAATCATTCTAGAGCGAATGACGCAAAACGGGCGCATGCGATGCATCAGGATGAGTGAGATAGGTTCATTTCCCATGTTTAAGTCATTGTGATTTTGCTACGACATCGTGCTTGCCCCGCTCAGAAAACCAAAAAAAACTTGCCCGAAAGGTATTACTGCAAATAATTAAAACGTGGGGGCGACTAAGAGTCGCTTTCAGGAGCATCTACGTTAGGTGCCCTCACATCTCTTGCAAAGAATCATAAACAGATTCGTGTGAATATCGTCAAGGTTACGTTAGAATCACGAAGTTAATTGTCTGTCACGTTTGGATTAGTGAGTGCGCCTGAAAATGATTGGAAGTGGATCGTGCTTAATCGCTTCGGAAGCCACTGTTTTGGGTTTTGATTTGCAAGAGCGGATCGAGATCCTATTTACAAAACCGTATAGGCTCTAGAGCTAGCTAGGGATTTGCTTAATGGGTAATTCCTCGTTATCTCAAGTTAGTCTAGCTTCTCATTTATTGTTAAGGAAAGGGGTTAAAAATCCCAAATTGTGTTTACTGGGACGCATTCACTCTCAATTTTTTATTTTATGACATAAAAAATCCCAAATTATGTCAACTGTGACACATTGACCATAAACTTTAACTTGTACTTACGTGACGCATTTACCTTCCATCAAAATTTCATCAGTTAGCCAAAACAATGTCGTTTTCATTTTACTTAAGCCACTTGAGTATCATGTCAACACCATTTGCTTTTCCGGCATCCACAAGTAAACGTTTAGGATTTTTAAAATTACTTGTTAACGGAACCTTGACGGAGGGTATATATGTCACACAAGTAAACGTTTAGGATTTTTGGTGTTACGGAAAATTTTTTAGGGTAAATATGTCACAGTAGGCATAATTTGTGATTTTTGGTGGCTTTTGCCCTTATTGTTGTTACTGAATTTTGGATATTCAGGATCATGCGTTTTCTAGCTTGAGAGATTTTCTGATTAAAATGATACACGTTTGAATCAACAATCAAGTTTGACTACAAATTATGTGTTGTCGGTGCAAAAATTTCTTATATTCAAAAGTATTTGGATAGGTGCAGATGATACGATTGGCAAAATTGGATATAATGCCTAAACCCGTCCAAAACTTGACCAAAGTAAACGATTATGGGCTTTTCCTTCATGTATCCTTCTTTGGATGAACTTCCTCTAATAAAGCTTTTGATTGGTGGATTATAAGATATACCCACATACAAACTTAGCTAATTATAAACGTAAATGATGTCCATATTCAAAGCCCGCTATTCAAAAGACTAGTTTAGAACGACATGACGAACCCCTCTCTCTCTCTCAACCACAACAGTGAAGTTTGAAAAAATTGAGACCACAAGTTTGATGGTCATGTGACATGTTCGTATGATGCCAAAATTGAAACATGCATACTTGTTGAAAGATTCATTTGGTTATTTAGTTCATTCTTTTTACGGTCTGTGTAAAAAGAGCCAATCCCACCACCACGGCCATGGAGGCCGTTGGCTTCGAGTGACCATGGGTCGCGCGAGGCAAGCGACCCCAAACCTGAAGGTCATGAGCTCCATAGGTGCGAGTCCCAACCTCGGTGCAAAAGGATAAATAGAGCAGTACAATATGAGTAATTTCAATAATTGAAAATTACTTTTCTCATTTTCCGCCAATTGTATTGCTAAAAAAATGAGTAATTGAGAATGTTTTCATTATCAATATAAAATTGTATTTATATGTTTTTCTCAATGATAAAAACATTTTTCATTGATATACTATCCCGAGGAACACAAAAAATGGAATATTTTTTTGTTGTTAATTATTTGTGAAATAATAGGATCCTATTGGTATAAAGAGTTGGTCCACTATATTGTAGCAAACTTTCGTCAAGTCTTGAGTATGACCCACCTAATCAAATATCAACATATAATCTCTCAATTCACTCAGTATATCGATTTTGTGGATCCAATTTAGTATACCTAGCATTATTTAAAACTGTATAGGATAATGCAAAGTATACGAACGTTGGGCTACAAATCCGCACACTAAATAATAGGTCAAATGGTACTGTTTGTTGAATATAATCCACTCATTGAAAAGCTCAGTTAAAACCGTCCACATCGCTCGGTATACCAATTATATAGACCAATCTCAGGATACTTTGCTTCTGCCTATCTTCCTATAAAAGGGAGAAACCTTGGCTCTAGCTTAACAACTTGCTCCTCATGGAAGAACTCACATCTTGTGCTTCCTCCTTCTATCATAAAGCCTCACCCACTCTCCAGCAACTCGTCCACTTGATCCTCCAAACCCGACCTGAGAACTGGGTTTACTCCATCTTTTGGCGGCCCTCAAGAGACGACCACGGCCATCTCGTCCTCACCTGGGACGACGGCCATTTCCGAGGAACTACGAGAAATCCATTCACATCCAAGCTCACCACCAAAAGGGTGCTCAAAGAAGCCGAATGTCCGGATGGTGAGTTCGCTCAGGGCAGCGACATCGGCGACCCTGAATGGTACTACATCTTCTCCGTCACAAGGTCGTATTCGTCCGAGGACGGCATACTAGGAAGAGCATTTCGCTCAGGAGGTCACATCTGGTTGAGTGGTGAAAACCGCCATGAACTGGAGATGTATGGGTGTGATGAGAGGGTCAAAGAAGCAAGAATGCACGGAATCCAGAGCATAGTGTGCATATCAATCCCTAATGGTTCTGGAGTTCTTGAATTGGGCTCCTCAGAGATCATCAAAGAAGATAGAAGCTTGGTACATTTAGCCAAGTCCCTCTTCCCTTCTCATTTCTCGAACCCCCGAATCAATCCGCGTGGAGAGAACCCATCCAACGATGCCAAAGAAGAACCAGCACTCGTCGTTACGAGCAAGCGTCCATATGCTAAGGAAAGCTGTAGGAAGAAAATAGTGGACGAAGACGATAAGGAATCATCATTGTCGCCATCGCTGTCCGGCCCGTTGAGCCACGTGGAGGCAGAGCGGCAGCGGAGGGAGAAGATGAACCAGCGGTTCTACGCGCTCCGCTCCGTTGTCCCCAACGTGTCCAGAATGGACAAGGCGTCCCTCCTCGCCGATGCCGTCGACTACATCAAGGAACTCCGATCCCAGATCGCTGCGTTGGATTCCAAGCTCGCCAAGTCCGAGCTGCCGTCTCCAAAGCGCCTCAAGACAAATAGAGATGTCGCCTCCTTTGGCGACGCGAGTGAGACGACGTCACTGTCGAGCAGGAACAGCTCGATGACAGCCGCGACGACATTGGCCGTCCCGGGGCTGAGAGAGATGGCCGCAGTGGAGGTGAAGGTGGTGGGGCGGGAGGCCGTGGTCTGGGTCCGTAGCCCGAATCTGGAGCATCCGTGCGCGAGGTTGATGGACGTGCTCAAGGAATTGGGTTTGGTCGTCCAACACGCGAGCATGTCGTGTGTGAAGGGGATGATGGTTCAGGACGTGGTGATTAGGACTCCGGTCGACTGCTGGGTCAGCGACGAGTCCATCAGGGATGCTATTCGGGCTAAACTAGGCAAGGTGTGAATTTTTTTTTTTCCTTTTCTTTTCTGTAATAAAGGCCAGTTCTGACTTTTAGTAGTACGATGACAAAATCTTTTTCCTCGTTTTTTGATAGAGTAATATTCTGTATCTATGTTTTTAATGTGAACAAAAGATAATTACAATAGGAGCCCTCAAACTTACATCCATTTTATCAGTCAGTTTGAAAACTTTTCCTGATTTAACAAATTATTTAGCTGTCTTTCTTAAGAACTGTGTTTTCTTCTAACCATATTTGAGAGAAACTTTCTTGAATCAAGCTTGAAAACAGTAGATTACAAATACGTATAGACATTACTCGCATATAAATCGAACTCAATATAAACGTGGTGTAACTCAACAATCAGACAACTAATTAGAAGAAATTTTTTCCAATCAAGGACGGAGAAATGTATGACCTTTATCCGAAAAGTGCCATCAAGTGCTCAAATAACTCCAATTGGTCTTTTGTCACACACGCTCCTAGCCATGCAACAATATTTTACGCACAAATTGTTCATATGCGACTATGAAAAACTTTTGTCGTGTTATAACGATTTTAGATTCCTCGCTCTTTATTACCAAAGTTTCCAATGATCATGTATGAGACTTATCACTTAGTTTGCATAAATTCTTGTCAAAGTAGGATTGCACCATTTTGAAAGATTATAGAACTTATTTATTCATTTTGGAAAATTTTAGAATGAAATTATGTTATTTACACATTTTAAAGAAGTCGGCTATATGTAATGTAAAAAGTCATCACAAAATTTAGATTGGAAATATTATTGCCGTGAGAGAATTCAACTACCATTTGAGCTTTGTCCTTTTTTTATTGAATTGAGTATAGATTGCCAAATATAGAAATTCAACGACAAATGTGAAACTTGTTTCGATTTCCGTGATGAAAAGTACAATCTACCCTATTAGAGATGAGCGATTTTGGGTTCCATCTAGATTTTACCTAGAGCTTATTCATTGAAATAGATTCCTCATTTTTTGGAACCTGGAACCTACCCTGCATACCCCAAAATGTGGAATCTACCATATCATAGATTCTGAGGTCGGTTCCAGGGTCGACCGGGAACCAACCAATTTCCTTTTTTCTTTTTTTTGGCTTCATTTTTAGTTAAGCCTAATTTGTCGGTTGTTTTTTCAGATTTTGTCACAAAAAATGACTAAAATTACCTAGTTTTCTAGACTTCTTAAGTGCGCCACAACCCAACGAGGACTCGGTGGCTATATGCAGTTGTTGCTAGTCCATAGCTTTGCTTTGGCCTCAGCAAATCAATTCAGGTTTAAGTAGTTAAAGCTCAGCAACTAAGTGGGTTTTTACTGTAGTGAGTTCTTCTAGCTATTGGGTTTTGATTAAATTGAGATATCTGGAAAGCATTTTTGTAGTTGCATGATTCTCAAGTCTCAATATTGTTACTGTTTGCGATGTACTCGACTGAATTTTTCTTGGATACTACCAATAGCAATTCGGCCTCAATAAACATTGTTACCGTAAAGTTGATTGTAAACAACTTGCTGCTCTCAATAAGTAATACTATGAGATCACAGAATTACAAAGTGATGAGGTAAGAAAGCCAAAGTTACTCAACGGGATTGATATGCTCCAAAATACGTCTCAAATAATTTTCAAAGGTAAGATTTGTTGAGTTGGAATTTCTTTAACATTCGATAGCTTTTGTTGATAATTTTAGCAGGCACAAATTTTTCTAGGACTTATCGGTGTTTGAAACGGATACCGGTTTCTCTATTTATTTACTGAATTGCAAAATATCATAACAAATTATGAAATATCTAATTTGAATCACCCAAACTAAGCTATTTGTAACACTTTTATTTAGCCACATCTTCTTCATTTTTCACTACAAGTTTTAACCCCGATTTCATCATTGTTTCTAACCCCTAAATATTTATCATTATTTAACTCGTAGGAACTTGAGTCAAGTCTCCCAAGTTCACTTCCCTTCTTGATCGTATTACCCCACCACAAATTCTTCAAGCTTCAAAAAGAAATCTCTATATTTTTTCTTGCAAAGATAACAACCAACCCATTACCATCTTCAAACCTTCAACGTCAAAGTTTGTTTCAACTCACATCTTAATTTAAACCTCAAAATCCATTTCACCCATCAAAAGACAAGATTACCGTAGCAACATATAAATTGACACTTCCCGCCTCCAATCAAATTTGCAAGCTTTTCGTAAATGAATTGGCCATCTCCATTGAACGAATCTAGAATAGATCGTCCACAGTTGCCCTGTCCTTTCAGTAAGACAATCATTATGTACGACAAATCTTGTCACGATGGGATAATATCATCGTACGACAGTTAGGTGAGGACAAATATTTACTGGGTCGACGATGCATGCAACATTTCCGTTTCAGTTCATGATTACTTTTTCTTTTACGACCTGAGAAATTCTATTTTGAGACTTTATTCAAATTTAGATGGACGGTTATGAATGTAAAAATCTCACGCCTTTGATATAGTTCCTTTTGCGCTTATTATAGAAAGGCATAATCTATAGACCTTTTCTTTGACTATTATAAAGTCCTCGATTGACAAGAAACGCAAACAGAAATGCATGTGAGACCCATGGAGGGACGGACATCTTCAATACAAAATGGCTTTTTTCTGTCTTTTGTAGGAAACTATGTAATTTGAGTTGAGAATTATGATAAAAGAGAGAGAAATGCATTATATTATACATCACAAAATGAAGAATACAATACCCATATATGTAGAAGAAGAATACAATTAGACTTAAGGACAATTAATATAAGTTACAATTAACTTAATCCTAAATAGTAATCCTAGTATAAAATAACATCCCTCATCAAACTCACGGTGATTTGAAAAAAGTCAACTGGAGTTTGAAGAAAATATCTTGAAAATGCCCAAGTGGATTTTGTCTAGGTAACGATATGAACACTTTAGTTAGCAGATGAAGTGGAGACGAGTTGTACAGTGCCATTACACATACCATATCGAATGAAATGGTAGTAGATTTCGATGTGTTTGGTACGTTCATGGAAAATATCATTATGTGCTATTTAAATAGCACTTTGATTGTTGCAAGAGATGACTGTTACGCTATTATGATGTACTCCAATGTCTTTCAGTAGCCATCGCAACCATAATAAGTCCAAAATCATATTTGTAAGAGCTCGATATTTTGCTTCTGTACTAGAGTGAGCGACGGTGGTCTATTTCTTGCGACTCCACAAGATAAGTGAACTGCCCAAAGAGAAACAACAGCCCGTAATGGAGCAACAATATTGAGGGTCACCAGCTTGGTCAGCCTCTAAATAAGTTGTTAACTCCAAGGCATAATGAGTAAAAAGTAAAGGCTATGAAATAAGGTACCCCTGATATAGCAAAGTATTGAAAGGACTACAACAAAATAAGTCGTACAGTGCGTGGTCGTGTACTGACCGACAATGTGTATAGCATAGGCAATTCCACGTCAAGTAACACAAAGATGTATAAGACTGCTGACCAGTTGTTGATAGGATGTATGATTCGAAAGAGGAGTTTCGTCTTTGGCATGAAATTTAGCATGGGTCTCAATAGAAGTTGTAGTGACCTTGTTGTAAGTGAGTCTGGCTTGAGAAGTAAGATCTATGGCATATTTGGCTTAAGAGACATAATGACCAGAGTAATCTAAAGTCACCTCTACGCCTAAGATGTAGACAAGTCACCTAAGATTTTTCATTTTAAATTGTTGACTGAAATGCTAATGGAGTTTTAAAATGCTAGTACGATCATCTCCAGTAATAACCATGTCGTCAACATATAAGAGCAACATAATAGACCCACAACATGTGTATCGAACAAAAAGAGCATGGTCATAGGGATAGAATTTAAGCTAAGGGATTCAATTGTTGAGCAAAACTTGGAATACCATGTATGAGGAGACCGTTTCAATCTATATAACACACGACATAATCAGCACACTTTGTTGCAAGGATGTGTGTATCCAAAAAGAGGCACTATTGACACCTAAATTTTGGCACATCATTTAGTGATTAATTGCATAGAAAATTAGAGATTAAATTTTAACCCCTAAACAAAAATATCAAAATCGCATAGCATATAGTTTAGGATCATATAGTTTAATTGCATTCCACATTGGACCGACGGCAGTGAGTAAGTTGAAAATCCATTGCATAAATCAAGCTCGAGTACCGAACAAAGCTCGTCTCGCTCGGAAGACGGGGGCCGAAAATCACAAGTCTAAAAAGGCCTTGGTTGTCTTAATTTGAGCTTAAATCAGCCCATCAAGCTTAATTAGAGAAAAGCCCAAATTAATTCGGCCCATTTGGAATTAAATAAAAATTAAAGGATAAAAACCTAAGCCTAAGTCCATTAGGACTAAGAAGCCCGGCCAATTAACTTAGGGTTGCGATATAAATATGTGACTATACCTTTCAATCAAGGGAGACTCTCATAATCTTCGGAGAACACAATTTCGGAGAGCAGAGAGGAGGCACCCAATTCATACACACGGCTAGAATATAGAGAGACACAATGGAGAGAAGAGAGGGTCAGAGATAGAGAGAGGAGAGTAGCACTGCACGTATTGAGATCGAGAGAGACGGCGTCCACACGTGACTTGCTTAAGTCCCGCTTTCAGCCGTAAAGGCTCGGTGCAAACTCCACGTCCGCAGCTTGGCTCCTCTCCAGCAGCGAGCTCAACCCAAGCAAGTCCAAGCTTCATCACCGCGGCTCCAGATCACTGCCGTACGTCAGCCATTGGGTTTTGCTCGTTGTCCACAACGTTGGAAGTCCTGCAAGTTTTGTTGTTGTTCACTGGGCCAATCTCCTTCCGTCGCTGTTATTGTGGCGGTCTACACTCCCCATAAACGTTTCCGGTTCCCGACAAGCCAAGCAGCTTCGGCTTCAGCCCCCGTTGAATTCAGTTGCTCACAGCAGCAAAAGATCACCGGTCGTCGTCCTGGTCGTGCTCGAATTACTCTGTTTTGCAGGTTCCTTGGCGTGTCCTATCTTCTAAAAACCAACTTTGCTGTAAGCGAGAAGAAGGGGATGTTCATCGGTCAAAGTCATAAGTCCAAGCGGTGGATTGGTTTTCTCTCTTATTTTTGCCCAGATTTGACAATAATGTTGCCCCGACGCCCACATCCTCAAATCACGAGCTTCAC